TTGAGCACCCCTCACCTTCAAACATGGCCAAAGGCTCCCTTTTCAGCGCTGGCAACACACCATAGAGCTACCTGAAACGCAGCCCAGGTTGCTGGATTTTGCTTGTCTTTTACTACTACGTCAAGTGAATATGGACATCAACAATCCACAAACATTTCCCCATGAGAAGCTATCGAATTCAGGTAGCCAGTACGTGAGCGAGCATGGCCAAAGGACTGTAAGGTGCTGAACAGTAGCCCAAAAGCAGAAAACTGAGGTTAAAAGGTTACTTTCCTCAAGCTGTGTGGTCACCAAATGGCCAGGTCCTCAGAAAGAGGATCCAGTTTCAGAATCACACCACACACACCTCTTCAAAGTTGCCAGTCTCCTGTCAAGAAACTTCTCCCCCAGCCATCCCTGGAAGCCCTCCATGCTAATCTGCACAAACCGAAAGAAATCTTTCCTTTGTTGGGGGATGAAAGTGATTCATTCACTGCATAATTTAATGGTCTGGAGAATCTGGTAGTGGAGACAGAAAGGCATGTAGAGGTAATTGAGTCTGAGGTCATTGATCTGGAGAAAATGGAACCAGAGCATAAATCCACTGCCAACTGTAATCAAATCTACTCCTCACAGAAAGCATAGAACAAATGGAAAAACAGGCACAACATTATCTGAGCACAGGGCTGCCCAGCTGAAGTCTGGAATGGAAAGGGATGTCTCCCCCAGAGAACTGGCTGGTGACCCTTACAGCACTTCCACAGGCCAAAGGAAAAAAAATGGGGGTATCTAGGAAGGTTCCTCTGAAATAATGAAACTGATGAAAAGTAACTGTTGGTTTTCCTTGCAACTACAGCAAGGTAAACTACTCACAGCAAATAATGCTTTCACTGAAAAAAGGAAGCTTTTTTTCTTTTTGGAACATGCACACAAACTGTCAAAAAACATATCATTACTTCTGCAAAGTTACTGTTGCTATAAATTAGTTGACAAGTGTTTGAGGTGGATATATTTTGGCATATCAATTATTTGTGAAACTACTTGCAGGAATGTAGCTCTAAGGATGAGGCATGTTAATTAAAAAATAAGGGCATTCTGCTTGGAGCCTTATGTTACACCTTTCTTCCTCAGATCTCCATTTGTAACTCGTAGGATTTCAAATCCAGCACTGTTTATTTTCTCATTAAAATTTTACAGCTTATTAAAAGAAATGCCTTTTTTAGCTATGAACAGATAGCTTGAAATGTTTCTTAACCATGAGCCTTCAACTGTACCCCTCCATACAGTGACTAACACCAATTTTATCAACAGGTTATGAAAGAAATTGTGCAAAATACGACTTCATTGTAGAGATTTACCAACTTTGTGGATCTACAGACTAACTTCCTGGCACAACTAATTTTGAAAAATTTTGTACAACAGTTTACAGATAGTTAAAAGGGGGCAATGGCGTAAAGGCTGTTTCTGTCTGTTCATATGTGGGAATAAATAATTGAAAAAGTACTGCTTAGTCTGTGGTTGCTGCAGCTTATGCCCAAGCATCATTTAAAAAAATTAACAGTCAAAGTAAGTATATTACCAAGTAAATGGATAGAAGATTACCAGTGCATCAGTGAAGCTCTGCATAAAGCATTAAGAGCGTGAACTAAGAGCTTTGAACTTGCATAAAGCTACAAAAGAAGGAACACGAAGGAAAAAAAAACACTTGCTCTATCGCCCAACTGACTGTTATCAATAAGATAACATTCCCACAATTTGGGAAGCGCTGCTATTGATTTTCCAGATCATTTGTGTTTTGATACCACTTTTCCAGATCATTCATGTTTTGCTAAACAAATCTCAACCTTAACAGGGAGTCCTTGTGTGTCACTTGACCTACAAGAGTTATATCCAACTTGTAATTGGTATAACAGTTCAATTATTTGATCAAGTATCTGGCTGAGGATTTCATAAGCCACCAACATACTAAGCATGGTGATAACATGGCTTTAAAAGAGCCTTCCTTTATTGTTGAAGCAGCAGATGAAAATTGTGACTTTAAAATCGTCAGAACCATAAAGTCACATAAAAAGAACTGAAAATATTTTTGCTATGTACTCCAAAGTGTGGGCTAATTCACAAAAGAAGAATACTTGAAACCCAGAACCTTAGTTCTCCTGACTAGGAAAATGGATCTTTCCAGATGGAGGAGAGTCCCTCCTTTTCCTGGCTTTGGGGCCTTACTGATAATCATTGCAACACAACTCTCATCCAAGGACATTCCGGTGGGTATACTACCTCTCTAAACACTTCCTTGGAAATAGAACGTGTCCCAGGTAAGAGAAAACATAATCTTTTTTCTCAGAACAGCCCTAATTGCCTCCAAAGCGCAACACCCTCAGCAAGCCTTATCCAAGAGTGTACTGAACTGCAGGACTGGAAACCACCACAAAGCTAAAAAAAGGCTAAGATAGGTTACAGAAAGCCAGCAATCCTACTATAAATGCAGAATTTCAGTGAAACAAAAATGGAAGAAAGACTTAGAATACAAGGAAATGCAGTAAAAGTTTGCTTGA